TTCCATTATTATTATGCCACCTTACCATTTCCAATGCCATTATCAGTTTTCGTTACCGTTACTATTATATTACGATTTGTCATTACCATTATCATTTACAGTTACAGCCCCTATTACAAATATTACCATTACCATTACCGCTACCACAATTGCCATCCCCATTCCCATTCGCATTACCAGTAGAATTACAGTAACAATGCCCATTCCCATTCCCATTCCCATTACCATGGCCCTTTACAATTGCCATTTCCCATTCCCATTACAGCTGCCATCACGATTAGCATTACCATTGCCATTACTATTACTATTTCCCGGTTATATTACCATCCGCGTTCACCACCACCATAATGATCTCTTCCACAGGAGGGCCTATCGCTCAGCCAGACTGGGTGTTGAGGATTTTGAGGAAGAGACGGAAGACGAAAGCGAAGGATTAAATAACTGCTACTTTGTTAGTGACTTTTGCAGCAGAGGGGAAGAGGAAGAAGAAGATAGCGAAGAAGAAGAAGAAGAAGAAGAAGAAGGAGGAGAGGAGGAGAAGGAGGAGATGGAGGAGGAGGAGAAGGAGGGGGAGGAGGAGGAGGAGGAGGAGGAGGTTGGGGAGGAAGGGAAGGGAGGAGAGGTCTGAGAAGGAGGAAAATATAATGGAAGAGAAGGGAAGAGAAAAGGATGCGAAAAAGGAGGAAAGTGAAAGCGAGGAAGAGCGGGAAGAGAACTAAAAAGATGGAGAAGGAAGAGGAGGAGGAGGAAGAGGTATAGGAGAAAGAGGAGGAGGTAGAGGTATAGGAGAAAGACGAGGAGGAATAAAAAAAAAGAGAAAGAGAAGGAGAGTCCATGTGCATCCGCTTTCATAAAATACCCCGGATGAAGAATAAAGAGAATAAAAAAGTGGAAGAGCAAGAAGGAAAGGAAATGTCTCAAGATTACACACACACACACACACACACACACACACACACACACACACACACAAATACACGCCCATTCACCTGCACGCACACGCACACACAAACACACACACACACACACACACACACACACACACACACACACACACACACACACTAACTCACTTACCCATTAATTTAGAAATAGGGCAATGTAAGAGTGACTTGAATTCAACAGACACTTTTCGACCGTGGAAAAAGAGCAAGTAAAGGATAATTCTAATCAACAAAAGAATAAAGATAAAAGTAATTATTATCTTTTTCTCTTTTTTGTTTTGTTTGCTTTTGTTTTGATCCATTAGCTTACCGCGTTTATATCACGGACAAAAATAACCATGAGATGTGTGTGTATGTGTGTGTGTGTGTGTGTGTGTGTGTGTGTGTGTGTGTGTGTGTGTGTGTGTGTGTGTGTGTGTGTGTGTGTGTGTGTGTGTATGTGTGTGTATGTTTGTATAGATACATATGTATACAATATTAACTATAATGCTAATAGCGATGAGGATGATAATAATAATGATAATAATAATAATAATGATAATAATACTGATACTAATACTAATACTACTAATAACAATGATAGTAATGATAATAATGATAATGATAATAATAATAATAGAAATAATAATAATAGTTCTAATAATAATAATAACAATAACAATGATAATGATGATGATGATGATAATAATAATAATGATAATGATAATTACTATGATTGTAATAATAACAATAACAACAACAACAAAACAACAAGCAATAATAATAATAATAATAATAATAATAATAATAATAATAATAATAATAATAATAATAATAGTAATGATAATAATGATAATAATGATAATAATGATAATAATAATAATAATAATAATAGTAATAATAATGCTAATAACAACAACAACAGCAACAACAACAACAATAACAATAGCAATGAGAATAATAATGAAACAAAAAATGAAACAGCAGTGATAAAAAAGGTAATTATCAAATAATGCACAATAATAAATAATGGGATAATCTCTCTCAATATTCTTAAAGGTCTCTTAAGTATTAATATACAGATAAGGTTATATAAATAGAAAATTGTAATGAAACTGATACCAGTCATTCAAAATCATGGTGTTGATGATAAACTGCGTGAATTAGACACTGACCATATATTATGCTACTACTGCTAATAATAACAGTAATGAAAATACTTTCTGAATTAGTGGGAATCATTAATATGACTTTAATTAAGTCTTGATTAAAAAATCATATAGATCAATATTAAGTATACATTGGATAATGATATATAAATAAACTAAGTGGATGTGAGAAACGGACAAAGACATCTACAAAGAAGAAAAATGACAGAAAATGATACATAAAACAACGAGAGAAAAAATAACAAAATAAACACTAACAGCCACAAAAACAACACTGAAATGGTATCACCCGTCTATTCACAAATCTCTCATAATGAACTACTACTGCCCATGAGTTCATTAGTGTGACGTCACGGCTCCTTAGCAACGGTGGTTCTAGCTCTAAACAAACGTCAAGGCGCTTAGTTA